TAATAGCACGCGCAAGTACACGCCGTAAACTAATTACGAACGCGGGACTTCGCTTCTGTACAACGTTCACGCACAAGTTACTTTATCAAAGAGACGCGAAGTTGACGCTACGAATTCCGAAAGACGAAAGACCATGAGTCTTCTTTCGAATCTTGCACATCCGCCTTCGTTCTCATCCCCTCTTCGGTTCTGAGCAGGCGCAGTTCTGCCCGGCGACAATTTTCCCTCGCAAACAATTACGTGGACCTATCGCGAAGCTTGTCGGTGTCGACATACATACGACTTTTGTTACCTGACGAAATATTACGCCAGTCTCGTTCTCGAAATAGCCTGATTGGCTGTACAATGCTTGCGACAACGTATCAGCACTCTGTTGCTGAGTCGGAAGATGCCTGGAGGCGTGGTCACGAGTTACTCATTTACATGAATCCCCCAGAATCTAGGTATATCTTTAATTACGCGATTATTATCGACGTTTGGCGTTGCGCACGCATATAAACTTAAAATAAATCATACGATACTCATTCTGAACCAAGCTACGAGCCAATGAAAGGAAAAATATCAAATAACGCGAATTTTGCGTTCACATGAAGTTACTAGGACTCTATCGTTCTCGAAAACGGTTTCTCCTTGGTTCAGCACGTTTTACAAACGTTAACTATAAGAATATAATCTGACGAAAACGTGTTTCGCGTACGAATGAATATAATATGTTTGAAAAATCTATCGGAGCTAATGCCATCTTATTGGCTGATTGAACGTACTGTCCGCCATTTCGTGTATCGTGACGTCAGAATATGCTCGAAGACACGAATTGACCAATGAGCGAGAAATAAGATGAGAGCTTAAGGCTGCTCATCTGAGATTCGAGAATTTAATCAAAATTCATATTCTGCGTTACGATTTTAATAATGTAATATAAAGACTTTATATCGTGTCTCGCGGTACGCCATAACGTTTTCTCGGCGAGTTTACAATTTTGTCCGCCAACTCGGTTGGATATCGGACTTTACGCATTATCGCGCTATTGATATTAATGAATGTAACGAAGCTATGGCAAGTCGTTGCGTTTTTGCCATTTTACATTTTATTTCTAGTTTCCTCCGTTGGAAACTCTTATTGTGCCAAGATGCACTTGCATCCTGAATTTCATAAAGCTACGTTAACTTTTATTGGACACAAAGTCTTAAATTGCAATGAATCAAAATGGCTTTTTGCCATGTTATTATTAAACATAAAACAAGACTATTTATCGGAGAAAATCTCCTTTAATTTGAATATTTAATTTTGGCCTTTGCCTGGTGCTCTACGCTATGTGGCTTTACGCAGGCAAGTGACTCTACGCAGGCAATTGACTCTACGCAGGTAAGTAACTTTTATTCTGTTATACTCTGAATGAATTTACTTTAATCTAATTATTCTTTTTTTAATTTATAGGAACAAAGAGGATTATTAAAGGTAAGTATAATATTTTCCCTTTATGTTATCTTATATAAAAGTAAGAACTATATATTATTTAACATTACAGCTATGTCATCGTCAAGGGGATAATAAGTATAAATATATTTTTTAGATCTCGCGTTATAGCGTTCTTTATCATTGCAGCTCTTCGCCTTGTGGCTGTGATAGACCGGGCTCGAACTCCTCGTAATCCCCGTGTTGTCCTGCCTCCGCTATCTGTCGCTGAAGCTCCGCTGCTACTCCTTCCTCCGACATAGGTGAATACTGCGCTCGGAAATCATTTTCCGAGTAATCGATTATCTCCTCCCCTGTAATATCTGTTGGCCATTCGTCAGCAATCATATCGGCTACCTCCATTCTGCCTCCATCGACTGCTCCGGCTGCTCTGTGGCTGTCTCGTTGCTGCTTGCAAAATCATCCGATGCAACCGACGCTATATTAGCGGACGGTTGCAAGGTCAGTCAAGGTTGCTGCTTGCAAAATCATCCGATGCAACCGACGCTATATTAGCGGACGGTTGCAAGGTCAGTCAAGGTTACAGGAGTAGTGGGAAATCTTTTTTTAGTTAGGATTTTTCCCATGCAGTTTAAGCAGTTCTCTTTCGATCCCTCTTGGTCCCGTTCCAATCATTTAGCTTTTTATATGTGTAAAAACTGTCAAAAGTTTTGAAAAATGGAAAATGAATAATTTTGATAAATTGAAGTGTGCCCTCTTATAGATCTCGACGAGCCCGACAAAAAAGATTCTATGTATCAAGCCTCTATCTCTTTTAGTTTAGAAGTTATAGATAGTTTTTTGAGAACAAAAAAAATTTTTTTTTATTTTTAAATGTTTGGTAATTTTCCCACATAGAACTCGGTGAGAGGAATAAAAAAGGTTCTCTTGGTCATGCCTCTATCTGTTACGGTTTGGCTAGGAAAACTGTCAAAAAATTGAAAAAAATTTTTTTTTGTTTTTTTACATGGGTCGCAATTTTCCCATATGGAGGACCTCGAGGGGAGTAAAAAAGGTCCTCTTTGTCATGTCTCTATCTGTTACGGTTTGGCCAGGAAAACTGTCAAAAAATTAAAAAAAATTTTGTATTTGTTTTTTTACATGGGTCTCAATTTTCCCATATGAAGGACCTCGAGGGGAGTGAAAAAGATCCTCTTCGTCATGCCTCTATCTGGTACGGTGCGGCCAGGAAAACTGTCAAAAATTTTAAAACTGAAATTTTTTCCAAGTTCCAACGGAGTAAGTTGGATCAGAATAACCGCTGAAAATTGGACTATACCAATCGATAGAGAATGTCGAGAAACGCGTTTTGGACTTATGAATTTTTGACTGAATTTTGGAAATTTCCCAAATTTTTTTATAGTTCAAAAGATGTATCAACTTGGAAAAATCGTAAAAAATTCGACTATATTAGTGGATAGAGAATGTCGTGAAACGTGTTTTGGACCTATAACTTTTGGATCGAATTTTTGAAATTTTCAAAATTTTTTTTAAGTCCGAAGGGAGTTTCAATTTGGAACAATATGGACAAAAATTGAACTATACCAGTCCATAGAGAATGTTGAGAAACGTGTGTTGGACTTATGATTTTTTGTTCTAAATTAGAAAAATCTTTCTAAGTTCTGACCCCTTCGAAAAGTGGGAAAAAATGAGCGTGTCGAAAAAATTCGAACTATTGACAACTATATATGAAAAAAGTACATTAAAAAAAAAGAAAATTACAATTTGTGTAGTTTTCACGTGTATTCTGGGTCAAGGATTTTGGGGGGGTTTGGGGGGCTTAGTCCCCCAAATACCTGCCAGGGGGCGAAGCCCCCTGGTGGGGGTCCAAGGGGGCGAAGCCCCCTGGTCAGGGGGGGCTCCGGGGGGGGGGCGAAGCCCCCCCTGCAATGAGAAAAAAAATTATAAATCGTCAAAGACGACCATGACAACGACCACACAGTTGATCATTGCAAACACACATGCGACCGGATTTTAATTACAGTGTCTCTTTTCAGGTTTCTGTTTTCTTTAATCAATTGTGGATTTCCAACGTGAAGACACTACCCTCGCAACTAAAAATGGTAAGTAGAAAATATTGTGGTTATTTGTATATTAATATCTTTGTACTTTGTTTCAGGTAGTCAACCAAAACTGGTCAGGATCGGTCAGGACCAACCAATGGCTGCAACGTAAGAATGTAAAATAAATGAAAATTGTGGCAAAACTCTTAATGTTGGTTATCTATTTTTCAGAATCCATACAAGCTGATAACCCTCCGGTTCAGATCAAATAAGGTAAGTATTAGACTAAATATATTCTTTGTTTCTTCACTAATATTATTCTATCTTATGTTTCAGCTGTTACAGTCATCCAGGAAGGATGTCAATCGCTCAACAGAAGTCTGTCATCTCTCAATGGTAAGTAACGATATTCATAATATCTTGTAATAATAATTGTGTTTCATTCTGTTTCAGGTATCCCAGCCAATTCCAGGGCGGATGTCGATCGCTCTACAGGAGTCTGTCATCCAGCAATGGTAAGTATGACAATATGTTGTAATAATTTTACTAATGTTCTCTTCTGTTTCAGGTATCCCAGGCAATATGTCGACAGAATTACAAACGGATGCAAAAGGTAAGTATCTAATTATGTGGAATAAGATGGAGTATTGAATTGAAATATTTCTTATAATTTGCAGAATGATCCCGGATAATCAATATTTCTACGTGCAGGATCATAAGGGATGGATAAGATGAAGAATTGATATTAATGTCGTAAGTTATGTATAAGGTTAATTAGATATTTATTTTATATATCATTTGCCTGAATTTCAGGAATGTGCGCATCGACGAAGGAGGAAATGTAGGACTGAAAGCCGGAGCCCCGTTAGCCGCTGTCGCCGCTGGATGAGCAGCAGCAGCGTTGCCCGACTCTCACCGCGTGGAGGTGGGGACGGCACTTGAACTCGCGCGTGTTCTTTGTGTGTAATGCGGCGAGTTCTTTGGAGAGTCTTTGTTTTTTTGTTTTTTTATATTTTATATTTTTTGTTTTTTATATTTTATTTTTTTTTGTGTTTTTTATATTTTATATTATTTTTGGTTTTTGTTATTTTATATTTGTTTGTTATATTTTTCATTATAGAATTATAAACTTGTCATGTTTTAAACAAAATAAATTTGTAGACGATTACATAAAAAAACATGACGTTATAGATGAATATATATACGCATGCATATCGCGAGACAAAAAAAAGTAAAAAGAAGAAAAAGAAAATAAATGGAGACAAAATAAACTTAAGCGGACGTATGGGTTGACATAATCTTATGCAACTGTTGCAGTTGCTTGTGGAAACGGGATTTAAATCTGTTGGAGACTATACCCGAAGCTATTTGATACGCTGTATCTTTTAGTTGTAGCGCGGTTACTTCGGCAAACAAAATCTGACGACGTTGCAACAATTGCTGCCACACCTCGATGTCGTGTATTTGGCCTTTGTCTAGGGCATGCACTAATATGGCCTGGTTGTGGCGATCGGTCCATTGAAATGAGTCGAGGATTCGCGGCGTAGGTTTAACACGTATATTTCTTGGTGCTTTAGCGGTGGCGACCGACGACGAGGATGGTGTAGGTATTTTGGCTGTTGCTGCTGCTAATGCTGTCGCTTGCGGCGGCGATGATGACTGACGATGTTTGCTAATACGAAGATTAAGAGAATCGTCGTTTGTATCGATAATTCGACGACGTACTGCAGCGAACTGTCTTTGGACGTTCGATGGCGATAGTCGCGGTGTACTTAAGTTGAGAGGGATGCAAAACTCATGACAAACGGTGACAGCGGACGATTTTGGTAAAGGTCTGCGACGTTTCTTTGGCGCGGGCGGTGTTGGCGTTAGTGGGGCATGCGGCGGCGAGGGGGAAAACTCACGTTGCCCTAGCAGTGGTTCCATTAATGCGGCTCTTGCGGCGGCGTCGTTGATAGGTGATCGTGATTTCTCGGCGAGTTGTGCCGCAACGCATGGAGTAAGCGTTGACTGTTGCGGTGGTGGCGATGTAGTATTACGACGACCAACTTGATCAAAATGTGAATCGACGTACATAAATCAATGACGTTGGCAGATGGACGTCTGCCGCCGACTCCCCGTGTATTACGTGTCTCTGATAATGTCGCTTGTTACGTGTCCGCCGTCGAGGAAGTCGGTGTCCAAGTGTCCGTTGTCCATGAAGGAAGTGTCTACGTGTTCGCCGTCGTGGAGGTAAGTGTCTAGGTATCTTTTACGAGTCCGCCGTCGAGGAAGTCGGTGTCCAGGTGTCTGTCGTCGAGGAGGTAAGTGTCTAGGTATTTTAATTCAGTTTAAATGTTATGTAGGTGTATACTATTTGTTATTTTTATTTATTTTTTTCCGCCTTTTCTCCTATTTCGGCTGCTTGAAAGTGGAGCGTCTCTGGTCTGTCGAACG